CTGAGTCAAATATGAATGACTGTGGCCCATGACACAGCCCTCAGAAGGACCTGAGAACATGTGCCCGAGGTGGTCAGGATGCAGATACAATTTAGGTTTTATACAATTTAGGGAAATATTTAGGGAAATGTGTAATTTAAAATGCACTTAAAATGAACTGCAATAAAATGTGATAGCTACTATATGAGCAATATGGGCTAGTGGCTGTCAAAATACAGGAGTAAAGATTATTAATTTTACATGGGAGCCTCCAGGATGTGTTTAAGAGAAGACAACACTTGCATGATTCAAGTAAGCATTTCTTGAGTTAAGTTACCTTCTTTCTGTTCTGGAGAGGACTTTAATTCGGACTAGAAGAAGAAAAACTTACTTTCTTTGCATGTGGAATGAGTCTTATTTGGATTTCTCTGTGCTAAATAAGTGGCTCTCACAGCATTTCACAATAACTGATAAGCTCATTTACGACATAAAACCCAGAAAAATCACATGAGGCTATTTAGTGTCTTGTAGAGACTGACCTTAAAAATTAAACCTAACACAATATTAGTATAGGCAAAAAGTAGTTAATTTGGAACTGAAAAGCAGTCTGTGTTCAGAGATCTGCAGGTTACCCTTTGTTATTTGAGGCCCGTGACTTGTGTGGATCGTAAACTCCTGGCAATAGGTAGCACAATCGTTCTCTCTAGATGCACTCAGCACTCTAATTTGCACAGTCTTAACCAAGGTTCTTCCATGTTACCCTACAACTTCATTTTATGTCTGAAATATCCAACATTATCCTGAGAAGTACTTAAGTGTACTTAGATGTGTACCTCTTCTATCTATGTACTCATTGATTGAAAACTCAACCACTTTAACCATTTTCTTTAGTTAACAAATATTTGGTGAACACGTACCATGGGCTAAATACCATTATAAATACTGGGGCAGGGCTGGGGCAATACAGTCAATGACCCTTTAATAAAAACTGTATTACCATGGAGAAGGAAAAATGGATGTGAGGAGAAACCAGCCATTTTCTCCACTACTTAATAAATGATAATTGACATTGTAGGAAGGTAAACATGGCTGGTGTTAATGTAGCTCAGTGGGAAGGCAGAAGAGGGAACACCTTTGAGCTATGGGATAAAATTGTCAGACACCCAAGTAAAGTGATCAACTGTATATAGCACTGAAACAATCCACAATGTTTTGGCTATACAAAAAATATATTTATGTTTCCTTAAGGCCATAAAGACCATGACACAATGCATCATGTGTGTGGTAATGAACATGAGAGTCTTTTAGGATTAGGAAGTAATAAATTCGGTCTCATTCCTTGTAATGGTTACTTGTTGAACCAAAGGATGAGATCGTTAATGATACAAATTCTGGAATCAGGAATCTAGTTCCTGATTGATCCGAAGTATGACATTGATCAAGTCACTGAACCTCTGAAAGACTCAGTTTCTTGTCTATAAAATGAGTGATAATAATTGCCACAGAGTTGAGTTACAATAATTAAATTAGTATCTGGTATATGTTACTTTAAAAATTCATTATTATTGCTATTATTATCATTACTACTACTTGTTTCCTTATTTATAAAATGAGAGAATTGAAGAAAATAGTTTTTTCTGCTTTGATATACTATGATCTTAATTATAGGAAATAATGTTTGACCCATCTTCCCAGGAAAACCCAAATGGCAGAGAATGTGAAGGACAGAGCATGAAATTTATATATGCAGTTTGGGTAACCCCATAAACAAGTTTAATATGATACAAATCCCCTCCCAAATTTTATTTGATTCTAGTACCCATTCAAAATAACTGGAGTTTGGGGGAATATAAAATTTTAGAAAACTCTAGCAAAAAAAGCCCACACACTCAACGGATGGCTTTTTCCCTAGAGACATACTTCCCACAGGGTCATTTCTAAGGAAAAATTCTTAATTGCTTCTTGCTTTCTAAGGCAAGCATGTAAGGGAGGCTTCTCCTTTGCATTTATCCCAGTTTCTCTTTTGTCAGGTTGAAGGTGTTTACCGTTCCCATATACAGCATGCACTTTTCAACACTGCATCCTTATTGTAGATATTTCTCTTCATTCTCAGGTTGGTGAAAAATGCATCCATCAGGAACTGTCAGATGGAGCTTGCATTGTAGACTTTATTTCTTTATGATTTATAGGAATGCATTCATGATTTTATCTATTATGTGTGTAGATGTATGAGAGAGACACATATGAAAGAGACATTTTTTAATAAGATTATATAATTAATTACAAATGCTTAATGGAGTACATCTGATAATTTTTTATATTTTTATGTGTTAATATGTAGTATCTCTTTTCATAGTCACAAATGCTCAATGAAATGGATATTATTATTATTTTAAGTCACTTTGGGGAACAGAAAAAGTAAAAATAAAGCAAAAATTAAGAGTAAAACATGTCCAATTTTATAAAATAAGTCATAGACACAGGATCCAACCAAGGTCTGACAATAGAAACAGAACTCTTTAACTGGGATACATTTTTGTTCTTATTCTTTTCGAGATGGAGTCTTGCTCTGTTGCCCAGGCTGAAGTATAGTGGAACAATCTGGGCTCACTGCAACCTGGGTTCAAGTAATTCTCCTGTCTTAGCCTCCCAAGTAGCTGGGATCACAGGCACACAACCACACTTAGCTAATTTTTGTATTTTTAGTAGAGACAGTGTTTCCATCTTGGCCAGGCTGGACTATAACTCTGGACCTCAGGCCAAATACCTGCCTTGGCCTCCCAAAATGCTATGATTAGAGGCATGAGTTACCATGCCCGGCCTTACTAGGATACTTAATATTGCTTCATACTGGGTCTAAAAAAGAATCCATATTTATTGGTAGTTTAATTTGAAATAGTGATTCAATAAGCAAAGTTTACTTGGGTATTCTTGACTTTACATGGTGAGGAAATCCTCTAAATATTCTTGAGTTCCCCATTTCTTTATTTCTTCATAGACTTTGCACCCCGTAGGATCATATCTAACCCCTAGTTTCTGGTAATTTTATTATTGCTATTTATCATCTGGATAATCATCACTCAAGGCTCTATATTTAATTTGTGGGAAGTACTGACAAAGCTACATCTACATTCGTGTTTATACTGAATCATCCCTGGTGCTACAGAATGAGATAAGACTTTCCAAATAAGAATCCCTCTATTGTCAGTCTTTGAAAATTACATACAGAGAAGTATTTTAGGCAGCTGCAGGCATAAAATGTTGAATCAGAAATCTGGAATTATCTGTTGACGTGTCTGTAATCTCTGTTTACATATGAATATAAGGATCTCAGATATTAATTTAACAACACTGTAAGAAAATTTTTTCAGCCATACATAAATATATTCTAAGGCAGTTTATAGTTTTTAGAAATTTATTATTCATTTTTTAAAATTTACCACTAATTAATGCCTCAAATTTTTATTAATTAAACCAAACCTCTGAAGCCATGTAGAATGTAATCTATTTCAGTTAGTAATTTCCTCCTCTATGCATAGAAAAATGTTTTTTCCAAGTTTGGTGTTTGAAAAGTTTTGGATTTCCAAAAATTGTGGTTGAACATAGCTTAATACTGTAGATTACAAGAAAGGTCTTGGGAATAATCATTTGCTCTAGACATAATATATAGCCATGAGAAGGTATGAAACAATTCAATCTCCAACAAATATACTGTCCTGCTGAAAGGCTATCTCAAGATTCTTATTAGATTGACTTGCACTTTTTGTTCTACAGAATATGAATGTTCATTGACAAAATGCCTAATTAATGGAATTTCTCTCATATCTATATTAAATATATATAAGCTATATGTATGTGTATATACATACAGGTGTGTGCATATATACATATGTATATATATATATGCAGACATGTAAGTGTGTGTGTGCATGTAAATTTTTAAGTTAAATGAATGATGTGTGTAGTAAATAATTTATTAGGTAGATTCTGAATTACTAGGAAATTTGGCAAGGCACAAAGATGTCCCATTTGTTGGAGGAACACTTGTGAATTATTCTCCATTATATCTGCTAACATCATGTCAACCTGTATTTATTAACATCATGCAAAGTACTAATTCTGTTTCTAATATACTTAAAATATAATTTGAGCAACAATTTTGAGAAAAATTTTCATGTTATACATTCTGTCTTTGAAAATAAATTTGCAAACTATCCAAGAAACCTTCCTAGAATTCCACTGAATTCCCAAAGAAAATAAATCACTTTCTAAATTTCTGTTCCCATTAAAACTCTGTAAGAATACGTCCAAGTTTTAGAAAGCATTTATTTACATTAGTACTTTCATAAATACTGACATTAATGTGTACATTTTATTTATCTTTTAATCTCTAGAACATAGCAGTATATGGTATCTAGTAGCATGAATGTGAACAAGTAATTCACTCTTTAACTTGACTTTGATGGCTAGTGTAATCAGTTTTCTGTTCTTCGCTTGAAAAGAATGCAAACATGAGATTAGAATAAAAATATTTTATAATATTTTAGGCTGATTAATCATATGATTTTCTTCTCTAATTATTGAAAATAGTCTTATAATGCAAAAGAGATTAGGTTTTAAAAGCACACTTTTTTACTTCTATTACAAAAAGAACTATCACTCCCTATTATTATCTTAAAAATATGAAACTCAAAATATGCCATCATTGGAAATGAGGGATATTTAAGAAGTAATCTTACAAATGTGACTGCTTGCAATACTTAATACCAGCATATTTCAGTCACTAAATTTTGTATAATTTTTATATAATAGGGATTGTTTACATTTTTACCATAAAGCCTATTATGTAACAGGAGCTGAGAAAAGGTTTGTGAAAATAATGCAAAGCATAATCACAGATATTGTATAAAGGAAGCATAAATAAAGATATAAAATAATAAATTAAAAAATTGCTAATTTTTCTTTTATTTTATTTTAGTTATCACAAAGATTCGTAACTCCTATTGACTTAGAATTGGAAAATGCTCAATTTCACCTACGTGACAGAGTTCATTCTTTTGGGGCTAACCAGCCATTGGGAATGGCAAGTTCTCTTCTTCGTCGTTTTTCTTGTGGTCTACATTATCACCATGGTGGGCAATATTGGCATGATCATGTTAATCAAGGTCAGTCCTCAGCTTAGCAGCCCAGTGTACTTTTTTCTCAGTCATTTGTCATTTGTGGATGTGTGGTTTTCTTCCAATGTCACCCCTAAAATGTTGGAAAACCTGTTATCAGATTAAGAAAAAAAAAAAGATTTCTTATGCCGGCTGTTTAGTACAGTGTTTCTTCTTCATTGCTCTTGTCCATGTGGAAATTTTTATTCTTGCCGCGATGGCCTTTGATAGATACATGGCAATTGGGAATCCTCTGCTTTATTGCAGCAAAATGTCAAGGGTTGTCTGTATTCGACTGATTTCTTTCCCTTACATATATGGTTTTCTGAAGAGTCTGGCAGCAACATTATGGACTTATGGCTTGTACTTTTGTGGAAAAATTGAGATCAACCACTTCTACTGTGCAGATCCACCTCTCATCAAAATGGCCTGTGCTGGGAACTTTGTGAAAGAATATACAATGCTCATAATTGGCGGCATTAACGTCACATATTCTCTGACTGTAGTTATGATCTCTTATTTATTCATTCTCATTGCCATTCTGCAAATGCACTCAGCAGAAGGAAGGAGGAAGGCCTTTTCCACATGTGGGTCCCATCTGACAGCTGTCATCATATTTTATGGTACTCTGATCTTCATGTATCTCAGACGTCTCACGGAGGAGTCTGTGAAGCAGGGGAAGATGGTGGCTGTGTTCTATACCACAGTGATCCCCATGTTGAATCCCATGATCTACAGTACACTGTCTGAGGAACAAGGATGTGAAAGAGGCCATGACAAAAGTGATCAGCAGATCATGTCAGACAAAATAAAATCAAATTTGAATTAATTTTGACTTCTATTATTTGTTTGGAGAAAGGTTAATTTCTAGTACCTAAGAACATTAAGAAAAGATACTCTGTAGGTTGAAAAGAAAAATAAATGTGACGCAAATTGAGAAAATATAAGGTAGAATGAATCATTTCTGTTGATGTATGGAGATTAATTAAATATGAATAAGTTAATTAATTGAAATGGTGATGTGTTCCAAATTTCATATGTGTACTAATGGAAGTGCTCAAATTTGAAATGAAAAGACATTTTCTGATTCAAAAGTGCAGTTGCATGAATTTAGGTCGTATTTATTTGCCCATTTAAAAACAAATTTGGGGCAGAACAAAAACTCAAAATATTTAATTTCGTTTTCCAATACAATGATATAAAATAGCGGTCTCACTAATGCTTATGAGATTTTTTATTGTTTAATGCTTTTTTACTCCATGGTGTTGCGTCTATTCAGAGACTGCTGCTTGGAACATAGCAATACTTGTGTATTTCATGCTTTTTAACTTTTTGGTGTTTCTTAAGAAACACAGCATGGTAAGGGTCTCTCTTTCACAGATCACAGTAACTGCTGTGTTTCAATTCTAAGACTGCCAGTCACCAGACTGTGGTTTGCCCCAGCCAGTGTCTTCACTCTGAAGAGTAGGAAAATTAGTGGAAGATAGTGTCGTGTAAAAGCATGGCTCTCAAAATTCCACAGAATAAATTACATGTGGAATATTTGGTACACCTGTATGATGAGAAAGTCTATGTGCTCTCATCATTTAGCTCATACGTGCAAGTGAGAGCATAAAGTATTTGGTTTTCTGTTCCTGCATTAATTTGCTAAAGGCAATGGTCTCCCACTCCATCTATGTTCTTGAAAAAGACAAGATCTCATTTTTTTCTTATGGATGCATAGTAATCCATGGTGTATATGTAGATTTTCTTTATGCAGCCTATCACTGGTGGGCTTTTAGGTTAACTACATGTGTTTGCCATTGTGAGTAGTGCTGCAATGAATGTACATGTGCATGTGTCTTTATAGTAGAACAATTTGTATTCCATTGCTGGATATTTCTGTTTTGAGGTCTTTGAGGAATCATCACACTGTCTTCCACAATGGTTAAGAATCATATGAAAAAGCTCAATATCACTGATAATTTAAAAAATGTGAATCAAAAGCCCAATGTGATACCATCTCACACCTGTAAGAATGGTTATTATCAAAAATGCAAAAAACACCAGATTCTGGCAAGATTGTGAAGAAAAAGAAACATTTGTGCTCTGTTGGTAGAAGGGTAAAAAAGGATTTTTATGTGTCCATTTTTAAATTTTATTTACCTCAAAAGAAACCACAAATGCAATGAACTCATTTTTGCATACACACACATAAATCATGGGCAACATTTTAAAACCTTTTGCATACATAAACAAATTGCTAATTTAGATTCAATTATAGTGTTACTGTGTCTTTGGTTGATAATTGTTAAACTTCTATAGACTTTTCATATCTAAGGTACACAAGGCTGTTTTGGGATTACTTCAAAGTTAAAAGTTATATTTTTTGGCAATACAAACATTTATTTGCCATTTGGGGGAAACTCTTGATATGCCAAATTAGTTCCTTATTAATACATTTCAAAATATGTTTTGAAAGCATTTGATATTTTATCACTTGTGGTAAGTTAGCAGGTAAATTTGAACCATTTTTGTTACCTCTTTTTTTCCAAAGGTGAATGCATTTTCTATTTATTCTCCTTTTTATTTTTGCTTGTTAGACAGAGCCTTGGTCTGTTGCCCATGCTGGAGTGCAGTGGCCTGATCTCAGCTCACTGCAACCTCTGCCTCCTGGGATCAGCAGTTCTCCTGCCTTAGCCTTCCAAATAGCTGGGATTACAGGCATGTGCCACTATGCCCAGCTATTTTTTTTTTTTTGTATGTTTGGTAGAGATGGGGTTTTGCCATGTTGGTCAGGCTGGTCTTAAACTCCTGACCTCATGATCCTCCTGCCTTGGCCTCCCAAAGTTCTGGGCTTACAGGTGTGAGCCACCATGCTCAGCCTCTATTTATTCTTTAGGAGAGTTAGTTTAGTGTTACATAAAGAATGATTAGTTAAGGTCAGTGGTCAAATCGTTTTTCTGGATGTGGTAAATATACACTATCACCAAGAAAATGTGGTACATATGCACCGTGGAATACTACACAGCCTTAAAAAAGAATGAAATCATGTCCTTTTCAGTAACATGAATGCAGCTGGAGGACATAATCCTAGGTAAATGGATGCTGGAACAGAAAACCAAATACCGCATATTCTTACTTACGAGTGGGAGCTAAACATTGGGTACTGGTGGACATAAAAATGGCAACAATAGACACTGGAGACTATTATAGTGGTGTGAAAAGAGTGGGGCAAGGACTGGAATACTAACTGTTGTGTACTATGCTCACTACCTGGGTGATGAGATCATTTGTATCTCAAACCTTCAGCATCATATAATATAATATAATATAATATAATATAATATAATATAATATAATAAATATAATAAAAATTGAATTTTTTTAAAAAAGAAAACATCAGTCCTATAACTGCAAGAAACTAAATTCAGAAACACAGTTATTAACTGGAAAGAGGATCCAGAGTCTCAGATGGAACAACAGACCTTACCAAGAAATTGATTTCTGTCTGGGGAGACCCTGAGCAGCAGGCCCATTTAATCTTCACCTGAACTTATAACCGATGGTAACTCCAAAATAATAAATTTATGCTGTTTAAGTTGTTAAAAAAAAAGTCCCCAAAAATGTATATCAGGATAAGGAGAGATTACAACTCTGACATACAGTCGGATAGCCAGATTTTTATATCTAAAAGAAAAATGAAATAGTGGAGAATAAGGAATAACTCTGCCATAAGGATCACAAAAAAACATGGTCTTAGAATGTCAGATTGTGAAGCCTATTTCTGTAAAAACAGTTGTTGCTTGAGTAGCCCTACATTTTGTACCTTATCCTGACTTTTTAGAAGCAATTTTGGGTGGTTTAGAAACAAATTTTCATACTTTGCTGTCAGAATGTAAATTTCTGAGAGTATGTATCCCAGCTACCTTTACTCCGTTCTATTCTTAGTTACTAGGGAAGTGAACCATGGTAAATTTGCATGAACAACAATGCTTTTTGTGTTTGAACTAGTCCATCTTCCTAGAAGCATTACTGCAACTGTATTTTGTTTCTCAGAGTCAACTTGTACATATTAGTTGAATTGTGCACCCTTATAGTTGGATTATCACATCTTAAATAGACTAACTCATCAGCAACCACCTTTATCTTACATTTACTTACCTTTATGAAATTAGCTTAGCAAGAGTCACCTGGGTAAACAAATTTCCACTGTTATCTGTAGCAAGAATATAATGTAGAACAAGTAAGCTATGGAAGCACCAATCTAGACAGTGAGGCTTTGAAGATTTTTAACCAGGCCCAAATGGGACACAATTTAGAACTCTGTTGGTCACATCTGAATACATGCCCAGTTCAGCAGCATTTATTTGAATGGTGCTTCTTGTCTGTTTCATCAACTCTAGACACTAAAAGCTCGATTTAAGTTGCTATATACAGAGTCAAAGAATTAAATGTTAGTGAAAAGGAGCTGGAAGCAAAGAAAAGTTTCGAATCATATTAGCAACCAATGATTTAATGAGATAACATAGTATTGCCAAAGCTCAGTTTGTGTCAGAAAATTGATATTGGGTCATCTTTTCATTCTGGTAAGGGCAGGAAAATCTTTTGTCAGAGAGAGTTCACCCGATAAACGTCAGAAAATGTGTGAATGAGTAACCATGAAGAAGCAAAGTTAGGGTAAGAATACAAGTCATTGAAACAAAACATGATTAACTATCAAATTTTGCAAAATGATGACAAACAGGATTATATTAAGTTACTAGTTTAAAATTCTAAGTATAATTGCATTTTCAAAATTTTAAACACTTTTTAGGTAAACTGTTCATCAGTATTCTATGGTCATGAAAAATAAATGAAGTGTTTACTTTTTTCTAGGAGTTTATATATTTCACATGAAATCTAGTTTGAGAAGCATGTAGATGTATAAAATAATCTGGGAAATAACATCCAACACTAACAAGTGTACTTCCAACTTAACATGTATATATCTACACTTACTTGTCAGTTCCTCCAGTGACTACACTCAGCCCCATTTTAAGTATATCGTGAATGAACACCATGTAATCTTTTATAATATGGGCGCACATGTAGGAGAAAATATGCTTAGCCTTTGGAGTCCATACATAAGGTAAAGCATCACTGTTACGTTGAACCTCTTAGTGTATGAAAGAGTTACCTTTACATAGCGCTGTCTGAGCTATGACTTTTACATGTGACCATTTATAATAGGGTCCTATTTATAATAGGGACAACAATACCCATGGCAGTTTTATTGCCCCACGAATGTCTTGGTGATTGCTCTGCTGACTGCTTCTTTCACGTCCTTGTTTCTCAGACTGTAGATCATGGGATTCAACATGGGAATTACTGTGGTGTAAAACACAGCCACCATTTTCCCCTGCTCTACAGATTCCTCAGTGGGTCTCCTGAGATACATGAAGATGAGAGTCCCGTAAAACAGAGAAACAGCCATCAGGTGGGACCCACAGGTGGAGAACGCCTTCCTCCTGCCATCGGCAGATCGCATGCGTAGCACAGCTACTACAATGAGAGTGTAGGAGATGAGGACCACTGAGAGGGAATACGTGAAGTTAATTCCAGCTATAACAATCATTGTCATTTCTTTGATGTGCACTCCCCCACAGGCAATCTTGATGAGAGGGGGATCTGCACAATAGAAGTGATTGATTTCAAAGATTCCGCAGAAGTACAACCCATAAGTCCATAGTGTGCATATTAGGCTGACAGAGAATCCATAGACATAAGGCACAGAGATGAGTCGAACACACGCAGTCCTGGACATTTTACTGCCATAAAGTAGAGGGTTGCAGATGGCCATGTACCTGTCAAAGGCCATCACAGCCAGGATATAGACCTCCACGTGGACAAGGGCAATGAAAAAGTAGCACTGCACCAAGCACCCCACATACGAAATGGTTTTTGTCTCTGATAGTAAGTTTTCCAGCATTTTAGGGGTAACATTGGAGGAGAAGCACACGTCCACAAAAGACAGATGACTCAGGAAAAAGTACATGGGGCTCTGAAGCTGAGGACTGATGCTTATCAAAATGATCATACCAATATTTCCCAAAAGACTGAGCATGTAAACTGCTAAGAACACCACGAAGAAGAGAACCTGTAGCTCTTGACGACAGGTCAGCCCCAGGAGAATAAATTCTGTCACATCTGTGAAATTAGGCATTGCCTTAGTATAGACCAAGTCTGTGTCGCCTATGGAGAATATTTTTTTTTAAAAGAAGGTAAATGGATTTGTTTTATTCTGGAAACTTTGAGTTGCATTTACCCTTATTTTAATTCAAGTAATTTAAAAACAATGTATACTTTGAAAAATGTATAATACAGGGTTTAAATACACTATATGTAAAAAGAACTGAATACATAACACAACAGACATTGTAGTTTTAGTTCTGATCTAAGTTCCCTTTTTTCCTTAGATGTCCATGATTGTGGTTTCACCTTTTTGGCTCACCATAAATGTCAAAATAGGTAAAGAGCTGCAGATGCTGCAGTCAGAGATTTTCCTATGTAAAAATTTCTGATCTCCACTGATTTCCTCTCATTAGTAGAATTTGACTTACGTTAGTGTTATTACTGTGTTAAGCATAAAATATATGAAATAAAGCATCATGGCGTCTAAGAGACGTAAACTAACACTACTTCATTTTGTTTCAGTCACTGTGTGAAGTATTTTTCTTATTTTACATAAAATCATTTGCGCTTTAATATTTAGATTGGTGCAAAAGTTATTGTGGGTTTTGCCATTACTCTCAATGGCAAAAACACAATTACTTTTGCACCAACCTAATAGTGTGTTTTGTTTACCTTGAAACTCTTGAGACTGTCTTGCTTAGTAGTTACATTTAACAGAAATTCAGAAATACTTCTCCGTATGATTTCTGCATGCCCTGATATCTAGATTCACTTCACATAATACAATAATCCAGAATTATTTAAACTCTCTAAAAAATATTTTTCTGGAGGCAACAGTTCCAGCCTTGTAATATGTTTAAGAATAGCTAACTGCTATTGAATGTCCAAGAAAACTCTGGCATGCAAACATTCTACAAAACAGGTTTTATTTGTATGCCTGTTTTACAAATGAGGAAGCTAAACACTGAGACATTAAGAAAGTCTTTCTGGGTTAGAATTCTACTAATTAGCAGGAATGGGATGCAAAAAAAAAATTACTTCAGTGTTGTATGTTTAATAATATTCTATTGCTGCCTCTTTGATAGCCTCTTCTACCATTACGTTTCATTTAAAATTCAGTTTGCTCATCCTCCATAATGGGAGGAAGTTATCTCTTTAATAGTTCACATTTAATAGACTTTTAAGAGTTTTGGTTATTCAGAGCAGCCTGGACCACTAAGATAGTAGATCATTGCAACTCTCTACTTCTCCAAGTTTAGGTGATTTCATCATCCCTGGATCAGATGACAATGATTTCTGGGAGAAAATAAATTTAATACCTAAATGTGTATCATCTATCAAAAAAATCAAGAAGATTGAAATTGTAATTTATAAATAGAAAACCAAATTTCATTTCTATTAATATTTTAGGAATTATCCCTCAAGAAAAACAGTGGAGATATAAATTATTGGACCAATCATGTCCTCTGACCCTGTATCCCTAACTCAGTTCACATATATATTTAAACAATATTATGAAAGTTAACAGTTTTTATTTGTAAAGGAGAATGAGAAGACAAAATATGAAATAAAGAGCTTTGCAAATCTGCATTATAATAAGCTCATTCTTACAAAGTTTTGAATAAACCAGGGATAGAAGTATAAAAAGTTCACAGTAATATAATTTCATAGAAGAAAATACTCTGATAATAAGACTGTGAATAATGTATTAGGTTCCTCTTTAAGACAGAGAGTGAAATTAAAAGATTTGACTGCATCAATCTCTATTGAAAAAAGTGAAGAACTTTCAGACCTACCTTCAGCATAGAGAGTAGCAAATGATAACTTCTCACTATTTATAATAGTCTCTTAAACATAGGAACACTGGGATCATGTCCCTAAAGGACTCTCCAGGTAATTATGAAAGGAATAATAAGTAAAATTCTATACACAGCTCAGATGTAGAAGCAGTTAAGGAGCAGGGATGAGAGGAAATTTTTTTAAATAAAATAGACCAAAATTCTTGATCATAATATAATCTTATCTCTCACTTTCACATTGGTTCTGTCCTCTTTTATTTACACATTGACAATCATGCATTTTAGAAAAATATTGGTTTACACTATATAAAATTTCAGTGATTCTCTTTCTTTCTGGTTGAACAACTGTTCTAAAAAGCACCATCTGTCAGGATAGATGATCATACCAATGCATGTCCCATGCATCTCATGATTGTGTTTAGATGTCAGATACTCAGAGTATAAATCATTAGCAGAATGACTGTAAGTAGAAGTCATTACTGAAGTCAGATAGGTCTGGAATTATACCTTTGCTATGCCATTTTTACTATGTCACCTTGAACAAGCAATGTACTTCTGAGTCTCAAAGTACTCATCTGTAGAATACAGAACTATTATCTTACATTTTTGTTGAGATGATTTTAGAATAATATAGGGATAACTCTCTCCCCAATGCCTGTTGTATGTGAGACACACAAAAGTTCTCATTATTTGTGCAGTTTTACCTCTAAACAGTTTACTGGTATTATCTTACCACTTCTTTAGGGTTGTGATTAATATTATCCTTACATTGAAGGATAAAATTATTCCTATGTAAAATAAATATGATGTGCCGGGTTTGGTGGCTCTTGCCATTACAGCACTTTGGGAGGCTGAGGCAGGTGGATCACCTGAGGTCAGGAGTTCAAGATCAACCTGACTAACATGGTAAAACCCCATCTCTATAAAAATACAAAAATTAGCCGGGCATAATGGTGGGTTCCTGTAATCCTAACTACTTGACAGGCTGAGGTGGGATCACTTGAATCCAAGAGGCAGAGGTTGTAGTGAGCCAAGATCATGCTACTGCACTACAGCCTGGGTGACAGAGCAAGATTTCATCTCAAAAACAAAAAAAAAATTGTGATGTTAATTTTTTCCTTTTTTAATTTTAGGTTTAGGGGTACATATGCAGGTTTGTTATATAGACAAAGTGGGTGCCACTGAGGCTTGGGGTACAGATTATTTCATCACCTAGCTAATAAGCATAGCACCTGATAGGTATTTTTTTCCTCCTCTCCCTCCTCCCACCCTCCATTCTGAAGTAGGCCATGATATCTGTTGTTCCCCTATATGTGTCAATGTGTTCTTGCTGTTTAGCTCCCACTTATGAGTAAGAACATGTGGTATTGGCAAGTTTAGATACTAACAAGCCAAAGAATGTGGATGAAAACTTAGATTATGTAAACTCTAAAATGTATACTTCATATTTCCTGAGTCTATTGTATATACATTCAGATTCAGTTTCTTCCTCATTTCTCACTCTCCATTAACAATGGGCATCCCCTGGTCCCTTGGTGTTCTGTCCATCCTAACTTTTTTTGTTCAAAGCAACAACTAATAGATAATTTGGATTGTTTCTCCACTTGATATCCACTTTCATTTCATAAATCACATTTTATCTTGTAATATCCCAATTTAGTTTATATTTATATTTCAACTTGTCCTACACCATTGACTTACCATCTTGTATCTGACCCATCAGGAAGTCTTCTCAGGTCTACCTTCCAAATAATACATAATAAATTTTAAAACCAGTTTTCAGGATATCCTCTGCTAACAGTCAGTCTCAGATAAAATTATCTCTTGCTTAATCTATGACAATAGTTCTTTCTTCCATTTTTGAAATTAATTGTTCTCTAACACCAGACAGCTGTATTTTATAAACATAAATCACAGCCTTTTACTAACTTGGTAAAACAGTTCAAGATTTTTCATCACATGTGAGCTAAAATCTAAACTTCTCACCAGGACACACCAGGACCTGTGTGATGTCTTCCCACTGTGTCTCCAAATTCTTCTCTTTCCACTTTCCCTTCAGACCTTCTTCTCCTTCTACCTTGACCTTTGTAGCTGTTCCTTGATCATGCTGAGCACACAGCCACTTCAGCTCCCTCTGCCTAGAATATTCCTTCCCAGATTTTGAGTGATTCATTTCATCATTTCATTCTATTCCAAATACCTTTTTAATCATGAATCATGATTTATTTTTCCTCATATTAATTATCACTTCTGAAATTGTTTACTTAAATATGCATTCTCTGTTCCCTCCAAAATGTTGGCTACATGAGGACAGGAACATCATTTCTGCCATATCCTCAGAACCTGGACAAATGCCTGAATCATAATAGATACACAGTAACCATTGGTGGATGAATTAATGAGGTTACTTTGCCGACTCACATCAGCTGACATTTCATGGTGTGCAGATCTCTTACCTTTTAGATGTGATCGGTAGAGCCCAAGTTACTACAAAAAATTCCAGCTACCATGTGAAGAACGTATGGAAGGGAGTGCAATTAGAGGTAGAGAGATCATTAGGGGTTGATTTTAGTAACAAAGTTAGTGATAATGGTGCCTGAGCTAAGACTTAGCATATTAAGTTAAAACTTTCAGTTTGCACTGTTGGAAATTAGGTGGGAGTTGAGTCAGGGCTGCAAAAATGAGTTGTCTTTAATTATGATAGAAAATATTGCAAGTATGAGAGAATATAGAATATTTATACCTTTTGAAGAAAAACTATATTTCTTCATTTATGTATCACATATTCACAAATCTAACATTGAGTTCAGTGGTGATCAGCCCTGGTTTCATATGAGAATCAAGTTGGAGTTTTTAAAAACACTGATACCTAGGTTCTAGGCCAACTCAGGTGGGGTGCACACACACACACACACACACACACACACACACACACACGAAATTATTTTAAGTTCCGGGATAAATGTGCAGAATGTGCAAGTTTGTTACATAGATAAACATGTGCCATGGTGGTTTGCTGCACCTAATTGATATGGTATTTTTAACAAGCTTTTATGCTATTTTAATGCATAGACAACATTGAAAGCACTGAACTAGGCAATCAAAATGACCTGTTTGTATTAAACAAGATTTTTTTAACATGGTTTTACCCCTGATAGCTTACACTTTCCCCTTACAGTAGATTCTGAGATATTCTCACACAAAGTCTTTTTCCAGGCCCCAAATATAGAACTTGCTATCATCAATGCACATAAAACTTTCCTCCATTGGTTTGGAATAAAGTGTTCCAGCCTCTGATGTTAGCCCTTATAGTATTCTGTTGGTTCTACAAAGCTTAAAAAAGAAAATCTTTCTGAAAGCCTTCATGATCCTATCTCAAGTCTTCTCACACCCAAGAAACAGAAGGCAAAAGATGAAATTATCGAGGGTTATGCCATCCAATTATTTATTACATAGAGCCCAGGGTTTGATTTATGGGACACATAGGGGGAAAAGCGTATCCTCTATATCACCAGTTGTGAAAGTAGAGCTTGGTAGAGTTATGTTCCAGGTTATGAGCTAACGTGGGGAGTGGAAATAAAGGACTATGTTATAATTCCCACTAACATGTTCAGACTTTTTAAAATGCCATTGCAGATGGTTTGTGGTGAATGATGTCTAAGAATTTTTCAGTCACGCATCACATACCATAACCCACAATAACATGGGCCAACACCAGAGGGATACAACTCATATTGTTGAAAGTGTCAACAGTTTTCACTTTTCATTCAGTGGTGTTCTTTCACATCAGCAGCAAGATGAATAAGAAAATGGGAAGAATAAGGAGAATAACCATTAAATATATAAAATAATTTTACTTTAAATAATAGAACTATCAGAAAGAAACCAAACTATCCTTAGAGCAGGGAAGAGTCAAATCTCTGTGTACAATATAGGAAGAAAAAACATAGCTTCGGGCCATGCAGAGTATTTTCTGAGAAATTCTGCCAAGTGGGGCACTTCAGCTGAGCTCCATAAATCTATAACAGTCTTGGCAAAGAACAGAAACACAATAGAGAAAATGTATTCCCTTTGTGCAAAACAATGCAAACCTGTTTTGTTGTTTTGTTTTTGTTTTTTGTTTTGGGGGTTTTTTTTGTTGTTGTTGTTGTTTTTGACACAGTTTCTCTCTTCTTGCCCAGGCTGAAATGCAGTGGCACCATCTTGGCTCACTGCAACCTCCACCTCCCGGGTTCAAGTGATTCTCCAGCCTCAGCCTTCTAAGTAGCGGCGATTACAGGCACCTGCTACCACAACCTGCCAATTCTTTGTATTTTTAGGAGAGACAGGGTTTCACTATGTTGGCCAGGCTGGTGTCAAACTCTGACCACAGGTGATCCACCCACTTCATTCTCCCAAAGTGTTGATGTTACAGGCGTGTGCCGCTGCACCTGGCCAACGTGGACACAGCATGGCCATCATATCCCAGTGCAAAACTGAATTGAAGAAACCTAAGAAAATCCCCTAGAAATGACGGTAAAAAGGGTTCACTTTTTTTTTCCTTCTCACCATTAAACTTACCCTCATTTTTATCCAATTCTCTTGACACTCTTCTCTTAGTAAAAATTGGACCAAGTAATTAAAGACACAGAAGAGTATATTTTCTTGTGCCAAATTCTAAGGCCCAAGAGAAGATAAACAAGTTAATTGAGAAAGGAATGTTTTGGAATTCCAAGATTTGACTAAAGCTCAGCTTGTAAGCCTACTCTGAGTCTCAGCTGCATCATGAATAATGGATCTGTAATTAAGGCCAGGGTGTTTTCAGAGCCTGCCTGACCTCCTTGAACATCACCAGTCACCTGTTGTCTTCATCAGGGAGTCTGAGGCCCATCTGTCTATGGTTTTGACTTACCATAGCAATTCTTATGGCCATTACCAACTTCATTTTATGTTCAAAAGAGGAAATAAGAAATCACACAAATTTCCTATAAGTTCTTGATTTTCAGAATTGTCAGACTTACCTGTGGAGGGATAGTAATTTCTTATTCTACTCAAAAGTCCCCAATGTGGAAGGATTTATACCTGAATCACTAATCTTGGGAGACTCTTTCCTGAAGATTAGTTAAGAAACCACACAGGATATCGTTAGGGCTCCCTCTGGAGGTGTTTACAAAAGTGACATCATAATGTGTAGAATCCTAATTTAGATGTACATATTGTCTTTTAGTAAATGCAAGCACACTCGGTACAGATTTTGATATTGGGATTAATTCTAGAGCAGATAGAAAGGTGTTCCATTCTTTGTAATCAAAAGACCTTTGCTGTGACTCTGCACATTATATCCTCAGCTAAAATAGTTTTTTCCTTTTCTGAAAACCCCTGGTGGTTTTCTCTGCCTTTCTTGCAATATTTGCTTTCTTTTATAACTTTGCTGTTACTCCTACTGGTTTGTAAATGCTCTGAGAATAAAGCTAACATCAATTTCACCTTGATATTCCCTATGGAGGTCTGCACAACATTTTGGGTGTACAGTTAATATTTAGTGAAGAATAATTGAATAAATGACTAAACAGTGGTAATTAGTTTAAACAAAGTTAGTTCAAGTACACTTACTGCCATGGGCCACTTATACAAAGATATGTGTAATTTATGATTTCAGAGATATGTTAATTCATATAATGTTTAATCATTGGGCCCCAAGTATATTAATATTTGAAATCAAAATAAAGTCCTAAGACTTCTGCATCAGATTCATAATAATATTATTGTAACTTAAAATAAAATAATAGAATAGTATGATATCTTTCATTAGGGCTAAAACAATCTTCCCCTCCTGAATGCTATTCACCATTAATTATTGATATTAAAAAATGTAGATTATAACAGAGAGAAAATCAAAACCCAAGGCCTGGTTCTTCAGCCTGGGCACACTAATGAGTGGAGAGGAAAAACAATAACAAAAACCTTAGAAGATCTCTCTGAGATCGGCTATTCCAACCGCCTGGCTGAGGCTTTGACCCTGAATCAACTTGTTGAGTAACTAAAACCAAGTCAACTTTGGTATTAGCTTATTTGAGCAGCTATGATCAGAGCTGTTTTCACAGTTTCTTCGGTTACCAGGTGGCATGGACAGTACTTAAATTTCCAAACTTCCAGCATGTCCCGAATAGGGGTGCAGACAAATGGGTAAGATTTGATGACCTGGACGTGTTGCACCAGTGAAGCTGAGTCCTACACAGCAGACTGACCAGGCCATTTCTGAATTGATATAAGGGGCAGACCTAAGGGAGGTCTGTAATTCCTGTAAAAACCGAGATGCAACTGGGTCACCACGGAAGATAAGAAGGTTATGACTCTATCCAGCCAAAAGACAGAAATGACTCTGAGGTGTATTTTTCATGGTGGATGACAGCAGAGCAAACTGTCACCAGGCAGATTAGAGGTCAAGAAAGATCAGAGAGCAGCACCAGATGCATTTATAGGCCTCCCTTCCTTACCCATAGAGGCCTCAAAGTCATAGAAGGGAAAAGGGGTTAAAATTCTAATGACTGCATATTTATCTAAAGAGGAAGACAAACCAAAAGAGTTATTTCAATCAGTGACCATTTTAAGATCAAAGCTACTCTATAAAAGAAAGCCATAGATCACAAGTCCATGTAACATGTAATTGTGTCCTGACTCATAAACACAAGGTTTTGCAACACCTGGACATTTTGTTTCCATATAGCAAGGAATTGCAGATGGCCATGTAGCAGTCATAAGCCATCACTGTGAGCATATAGTAATCTGTGATCACCAGTGCAATGAAAAAGTGAAATTGGATAAAGCAGCCAATGAAGCTGCATTTAGACACATTTGTGATTCAGGGATAGGTGGCTCTGTAGTAGGATTGTGTGAATTTGGGAATAATGGCACATACTTAGAACTACCATTTGACCTAGCAATCCATTTACTGAGTATATACACAAAGGAGTATAAATCATTCTGCTCATAAAGACATATGCATGTTTATGTTGATCACAACAGTATTCACAATGGTGAAGACATGGAATTTAAGTTAAATGCCCTTCAACAGTAGGTCAAATACAAAATAAAATGTGGTACATATACATTATGGAAAGCTATGCAGACATAAAAAAAAAAGAATGAGATCATGTCCTTTATAGCAACATGGATGAAGCTGGAGGACAATATCCAGAGCAAACCAATGCAGAAACAGAAAACCAAATACTGCATGTTCTTATTTACATGTGGAAGTTAAACATTGAATACAGAGGGACACAAAAAAAGGAACAACAGACACCAGGCTCTGTTTGAGGGTGGAGGGTGTGAGGAGGTTAAAAATTGAAACACTACCTGTTTCAATTTTTGATAAGCATAAGGCACTATGCTTATCAATTGGATGATGAAATAACTTGCACACCAAAACCTTGTGACATGTAATTTTTCTTATTATGCTGCCTAACTGAGTGTAGAGAGTTTGATGCATTTTACATAGTATCAGTTAAATATTAAACATAATTAAGAGCATTTGACTTCAAAATGGGTAAATGGGTAGAATTATAATGGTTATAGCATTATTTACACAAATAATAATATAACATCAGTAATGTAGTTAGAACACTTCTAAGCTAGGATTTTGATAATTATAGCATGCTACAACTTTTAAATAAAAATAGTAAATTGAACAATCACAAACAAGTAAGAATCTCAAGGGCCAGTAGGATGTATTCAACTATCTGACCACAGTATCATTTGTGTAGCTAAATCCATCTGCTGTCCCTCTAGTAGACACATGTTAGTCATTGCAGTGGAAAAAAGTGACATGAACTAAGGAATTAATGTCTTTGAATAATATAAACAGAGCCTTCTGAAGGTTTTTTAATGAATAATTATATATGTATGTGTAAAACTGTTCTTGGAATAAGTATTGTACTCATAGCTAATTTCTGTATTTTAACATTCCTTCTTTTGTGTGGACATCTGGTCCTGTGATTCCATACTTAAAATTATAAATACTTTACTCTTTCTGAAAGAAAATAGCTCATTTATTGCTTTTCATCTAACCATTTAGTTATCATAGAGCCAGTTTTATTTTTGTCAGAAAATGTACTTTGTATATCTTATGTTTTGTTAGGTAGCCATTGTATACCAACATATAAAAGAAAATACGTACATGCATACACATGTACATTGGGGCATATTTTCTTGAAAGTGAAAGCATTCAGCTTAAAAATGAGCCAAATCTTCAACTATTTTTATGCAAAACAAGGTACCTCTACATTAAGGGAGGAGAAATGAGAGACACCAGCTTTAAAGAGACACCAGTTTTATAATCTTATAATACCTTCTATTCCAATTATTTCTTAGACACTTTTAAATGACCACTTTCCATTAGATGACAACTAGTCTTTGAATGAAATCATCTACTATGATTATAAAAACTATATTTTTTCCAATCCCCAACATTTGGAAGCATTTATTGTTCACATGCCCATGATCCCAATCTGCAAAGAAAACATAGTCCTGCTTAGGAGATATCTCAATTAAAACTACCAATCCTACCAGCTGAAAACTTTGAAATTATTGAAATAAAATCGCATCTGGTAGTAAAATAGACATGTATGGTTATTTGCTAAGGCGTTAGAGAAAGAATGTGCATCTTGCCCTAGTTCTTGAAGGTTAAACCACTTCCACATGTAAAGATCAAACAACCCGGGTCCTGTCAGGAAAGTTGGGGGGCTCGGGGAGGGATAGCAGTGGGTGGGGGGATTGGGAAGAGCTAACATTAGGAGAAATACCTAATGTAGATGATGGGGAGATGTATGCAGCAAACCACCATGACACCTCTATACCTATGTAACAAACTTGCACGTTCTGCACATGTACCCCAGAACTTAAAGTATAACACAGATAGATAGATAGATAGATAGATAGATAGATAGATAGATAGATAAAGCAACCTGACAGTTTACAGACAGGAACTGTGCAGAAGACCTCCTTCCTCACCCCGGAAACTTCCACTTCGTATTAACGTTTGGCATTCTTATCTGGTGTTTTATCCTTATACTTTTCGTGGAGTTGATTCTCATTATTCTTGCTACATATCCTTTCTCTAGGTTACGAATACTGTACTTCAGCCCCTCTCCCACCAGTTACTGCTGGTATTTCGCTCTGGTTCATTAAGGGCACAGCATAGTTTCTAAGCCCTGTTTTGCTGTGTGGACATTTACTGGCTCAGCTTATTCCTCATAGCTTCTTTAGCCATTCAAACATCATCCAATTGAAGAGCCATCACACATGGAAGAAGGTAGAATTTATCCTTTTGCCACTCAGTCTTTCTCTGTCTCAGAAGCTTTTATACTGTGCTTTATAGCTATGAACATGGTGTTGAGCTGTGATCATTGGTTATTTTTGAGATTTAGGTTATGTAGAATAATGGATTTACACAAAGTGGCCATATTCTCCAGAAAACTTGGAACAGTTAGTACAATTCCACTACCAGAAAAAAGCCTCATGGCAGAATGAAACGAAATTAGGGTGAATGGAAGCGGATTTGGTCATCTGTAAGATTTCTTGGAGTCCTGGCATCCTATGGTTTGATGATTCTAAGCAGAGACATGAGACTGTTTTAAAAATTTTACTTAAAGAAGCTTTGACTTCCTTGTTTCTCAAACTATAGATGAGAGGATTCAACATGGGGATGACTGCTGTGTAAAATACAGACACCACTTTGTCTTGATCCATGGAGTAGCTGGAGCTGGGACGCAGATACATAAACAGGATTGTCCCAAAGAAGATGGTGACCACCGTCAAGTGGGAAGCACAGGTGGAGAAGGCCTTGTGCCTGCCTTCTGCAGAGTGAATCCTCAAGATGGCAGCAAGGATGTAGAGATAGGAAACAAGAATAAGTAAGAGACAGCTCAATTCATTAAAACTGGCAAAGGCAAAAATGACAACCTCATTGATGTGTGTATCAGAACAAGAGCCTTTCAGGAGGGGCAGAGTATCACAGAAAAAATGGTTAATGACACTGGAGCGGCAGAAAGACAGCTGGAAGGTGAAGACAGTGTGAATGGCAGCATTTACAAAGCCTGCAAGATATGTGGCCGACACCAGGAGGGCACTGAGGTGGGGGGACATCAGGACTGTATAAAGCAGAGGCTTGCAGATGGCCAGGTAACGGTCATATGCCATGACCACCAACAGAAAACCCTCAATGCCAGCAAAGGAGCCAAACAAGAAGAACTGAGTGGCACATTCATTAAATGAAATGACTGGGTTCTTCACCCAGAAATTTATTAGCATATTAGGGGCAATGACAGAAGAATAACAGAAGTCAACCAGGGACAAGTTACTGAGAAAGAAGTCCATCGGAGTATGGAGATGTGAGTCAATCTTGATTAATAGAATCATGCCAAGATTTCCAACAACAGTGATCGTGTAGATGAGCAGAAACAACACAAAAAGAAGGCGCTGTAGTTCTGGGTGATCCTTGAATCCCAGGAGAATAAATTCAGATACGGTTGTAAAGTTTCTCATATTTTAGTCTCAGAATAGAAGACTCATGTGCTGGGATGAGAAAGAAACCATGATAGACATGTTAATCTGCCTCACAAAAGTAATGACTATATTAGCTGTATGCATCTATATGTAAGCATACATCTATAGGAACCCCATAGCATAATGTGTTAAACCTCAAATATACACGATAAAATTTATTTAAGAAAAAAACAAATGAAATTAATTGTAGCCACAAAACCTATGATACTAAATAGTTTATTCTTTGCTGTAATTAAGAGTACTTCTAAGATGTTCTGAAAATGTGTGCATAGCTACTCTTTATTTTATGTGGAGGTAAAGAAGAAAAGATCCCTTAAACTTAATTATCTATTTTATTTAAAATAATACATGTGTTATGTGTGTGTATATGTGTGTATTTGTGTGTGTGTTGAGAGAGAGAGAGAGAGTGAGAGAGAGAGAAAATTTGATGATACCCTACTCTATTCTTCAACATTTTTCTCTTCCTCTTCTGATCCTACTGCTTCCGTCACCTCTCATCCCATTCCTCTACTATCCCCTTAGCAGATAAACATATGGACACAGTTACATATCTTTTATGTACTGAATTCTTGTTTCCTGTTAGCCCATTCTAATCAGGCTTTTCCCTCCATCACTCCATGGAAATTGCTTTTATTCAAGACATCACTGGACTTTGTTGCTAAATCCAATGGTGAATTCTCAGGCCTCATTTTTCTTGATCCATCAGTAACATTAGACATAATTAATTACCACTCTTTAAAAGGCTTCTTTCTCTGTTCTTCCAGAACATCAAACTCTCTGGTTTTTCTTCCTGCTTCATGGGTTGCTCCTTCTGTCTCCATTCCTTGTTCCTCCTCTTCTCCCTCTTTGTGCTGGAGTGTCTCAGAGCCTCCTCCTTTCCTATTTCCACTCTACACAGGTGCTCTCATTGTCTGATGGTTTTAAATATTGTCTATGTGCTTGTACCTTCTGAGTCATATCTCTAGTCCTGTCCTCCTTTCCAAATTCCAAGCTTATAAGTTAACTGCTTACATCTCCATATGGATATCAAGTAGAAACTCAGCATGACCAAAACTGAATTCCTCATGCCCTCCTCTCATTTGCCCCAAACATAGCATTCCCCATCTCAAGTCAATCCCAGCTCCATGCTTTCATTGGCACAGATGAAATTACATAGACAAAAATGTTGGATAAATGATATTTTCTCTTTCTCACTTGCTGTATAGCCAATCCATTGCATTATTCCATCGGATTTTCCTTTATAAGATCTAGGTCCTAAGCCAGCTACCTCTGCCACTTTCCCTGCCACTAAGTCCCAAGTCGTCTTTTACTTACATTACTGCAACAGTCTTTTAAGTTAATTCTCGTATCTCTAAAATAGCTAAAATTCCGTTTTATATTCACTTAAAAAAAATTGTAACCATTCTTTAGACTCTTATTTTTACGTAAATATATATGTACACACATGGATAATCACATTATATACGTAATAAGTGTATAAACTGACATAAAGCTATCATATTTTCTCTGATATATATGATCCTATGAGTGCATGGTTATGTTACGTAAATATACATTATATATATATACATGTCTATATACACATACCTATATGAGGGAAGTAACTTGTTTAGCTTTTGTAACTCTGTCTTCCCACGATGTGTACATAATTTAGATTTATATTTAGAAAAATATAAGTGGGGTGGATTACATTTCTTTTATTGTAAAAGAGCATTGGGTACATCATCTCTCATGAATACATCTCTCATATATATATGGATTTGCAACAAACTTAATCAAGTTAGAATTATCCTTGTATTAAACATACATCTGACCTAAGGAATATTAACTTAATGTCATAGAGCAAGCAAAACTAAAATACAGGAAAAAGGCTGAATATTGTGATCAGTTTCTCAATTTATGCATCTAATGGCATAAAATTATTCAACTTAAAGTTCTTCATAGAGAATTAAATATGTATTTGTGTTTTGGCTCTCTTCATATACAAAATTAATTATATTTATGTATTTTTTGCAACATGCATATTTGTGCATTCATACATGTTTACATACATTCCTGTATGTATGTGTATATATATGTTGAATATTCTATTAAATTATTTGTTTGTTTCTAGTGATTCTAAAACAATGTATGTTTACAGTTTAGTTGACATTAAATTCAGTATTCAGACCTATATAATATAAAATACTTAATCCAAATTCCTTAGATTTTTAAGTCCTCTTGAAACTTTCTACATCAAAACAAGTTGCAATAAATTAAAGGATCTTACCTTCGGTCCTTAAGTAATATTCGCTGAAAGTATGGCTCTTATCAGTTTACTTTTGTTTTGTAAAAACACAAGTCTTCTGTTTCCAGCAGCCAGATTATAGCTTTGAAAACTGCACAAGTGACATGAAAGCATCAACTATGGCAGAATTCAGCAGCACATTTTATCCTTTAGTTCAGGAAAGGATAAAATCCACTCCTTTTGGCCCCAAGGCCCAAGATTGGTCTTATTAAAGCTGTGCTCATTCTCTGGACATTTAATCTCTGCCAAATACAAAAAAGCCTGGAGTCTGAAATATGCCAATCCTTAACTAAAAAGTGAATTTATTTTTCACTGAGGTAATTGAACTACATTTTCCCCAGTGCATCACTTATATCTCAGAAAGTATCTTAGGAATACTCTTAGAAGAACAAAATATCTCATGATCCAGAGGCTGAACTGAACAAAGCATTGAGTTAAATCTATGTGATTGATCAGATCCTGCCTCCAACCCTCAGAATGCCACTTAAAATACAATCCTTATTCATTTCTACTAGAATATGGCTTTCATTTCATTAATTTCTTTATTCACTCAATAAATATTAATAAGTGTGTTTCGTGAAGCAGACACCATTCTTGGTACTGGTAAAATAGCCAACAAAATTAATCTTCTCCATTCTCTATTGCATCTTACCATCTGGCATTGATGGAAGACAACTATTACAAAGTTATTTGGAAAAGTAAAGCACAAAACCTATTATTAGCTACTAGGCTTTATGTGATCTGCCAGTCTCTCTCAGAATCTTCCTGATTACTATTCTTTCCTCCCTTAAATTTTCTCTCTCTTGTTCACATATATTTGTTTCCTTGCAATTTTTTAACAAACCAAAGAGGACCTTGCCTTGGAGACTTTGTGTTTACTGCATGTGTGCACAGAAAGCTCTTCCAGAAACACTTATATGGTATCATCTCTATCCAGGCATTGCTCAGACATTTTCAACAGAGAGCTCTTTTCTAACTTCACTACTCCTTATTTTATTGCCTGTTTCATTTTTATTTGAAACATCATTTATGTTTATGTGAAATGCACACACACATTCACACATATATAATACATTTGACAGAGGCAATACAATCTCCCTCACTTAAAGTATAAGTTTATTGAGATAAGAAACTTGGTTTTCTTACCTGTTATATCACCAGTATAAGTTACATGCAAGTTATTCAACAAATATTTTTAATGGATTATGAGTAAAGATACAAAAGTTGCCAATTTTCTTGCCCTAGCACAAACTAAAGAAATATAATGATTAGTACAAAAATATTATAGTTTTTGCTATTAGGTATTGCAAAAAAACTGCAATTATTTTTGCATTAACCTAATAGAAAACATTATCTGTGACTTAACATTTTGATAATTCTAAGTCCAAAGACCTAAGTATGATTTTGAGGTATAGTCTTTTCTAGTAGTACAAAAGGTGTGAATATTTTACATATGTCTGAGTATCACAACTAAGAAGAGAAAACTAATTTGTTAATCCTTTTATGCATCAAAAGTTTCTATATGCCAGGTTGTTAATTAAATATATGAATCTGGAACTCAGGTAAGAGGTCAAGACTAGAGAGATAGATTTTGGAATCATGGCACAGATTCATGGTCACTCAAGAACTGAGTGCAGGCAGAGAACCAAATATCAAAACTATGACTTTTGCTCCAAGATTTAAAGAGTAGCATGAGGTTGGGGATAAACAATAAATGCTAACTGGGAAGAAGTAGGAATGAAGGAAGGAAAAACGGAAGCGTGAGGTGATATAGAAACATATGTAGGGGTATATCAAGGCAAGTGGAGGAATTAATTGTGACAAATCCTCCTGAGCTATCAAGTAAAATGAGACAGAGAAATGATCTTTGGATAAAGTAGTGTTGAAGTGTCATGTGTCCTCGACAAGATTAGGCTCAATGGACAGATGGTACAGATAGACAACTGGAACGTGTTATAGAGTTAATAAGACATGAGGAAGTAGGAGCAATGAGGAGATGTAGTTCTTTTGGAAAGATTAATAGCAGAGGGGAGTAGGGATCAATTAATAAGTTGGTGACTTGATGGGACTTACTGTCATGGACACTGTGAAGAAGGGTGACACTAGAAAATGTTTGTATACAAATGAGAATATTGTGATAGAGTTTAAGATACGAATGCTTGGAGAGAGTAGAGATATGATTTCAGAAGTAAAGTCTCTGGAAAGCTCCAAAGATATGAAAGAGCTGGTCTTAGGTAAAAGCAGAGACACATTATCCATTATGACATGAGGAGAGAAAGTGTATTTATAAAGATTTAGAGGTTACCACCTCTAATGGGGATCATCATATCAGTAACACAGAGTAAAGCAATGATGGGTTCTCTCTAATTGTACTAATCAGGATAAATGGAGGACACGTAGAAGAAACAATTCAGTCTAACTAAGTGGGTATTAGACAGTTGAGCAGAATGGAGGGAAGGTGGAACCATGAAATTGAGCATAATCAATAGTGTGTCAATATGTGACAAATCACGGAATCTCAACTGGGCAATGAGTGAAATGCCAACATAAAACAGTGATGAGTAATGATAAAGTACAACTGTCCTCGGAAAGTGATTTTTCAAAAAAGATAAGGGATTATTATGATAGCAGATGAACCAGAATAAAAGGAAATATGAAAGAGAATGCAAGCTCTGATACAGTTCTGGATGTG